TATTATTATTATTATAATCTGAAGGATATCAGCATCACTTCACTAAAAGAAGACTGAACTAAAACAGATCTTTAATTGTGAACAGAGTCTAAATGATTTTGTTCTGTCAATCCATCTTAAAGAAACAGTTTGTCCATTTTTAAACGTTAAAATGTTCGAAATGTTCACAAAGATGTGGACTCACTGACTGATGGGATGTACAGCAGCAGGAAGACCAGAGGCTCTTAAGCCTTTGTGTAGAAAACTCTCTTGTTTGTTTTTTTCATTACTCGTTTTAACGTTCAGGTCTGTTTCCTTTTCAGAGCTTCGTTTTTGTTGAAAAACAACTTGTTTCCACCCCAAAGGACTCCAGATGTTTGAGGCATAAGACTGAGATTTTTTTTGTAATTTATCAATTAAATCACTTTATTTTAAAAGGTACAAATACATTTAGAGAATTTCATAAATATTATTGCTGAACAGATTAAAGTTTTATTTTAGTCTATATGGATCAAATCTTTTTGCGTGTCTGAATTAGTCTTAAAACAAAATAAAAATGCTGAAACTTCTTTGGGCTCGTACACAGAGATGTTCGTTTAGTGACCTAGTTTCAGGTTCATCATGCAGGATTACTGCTCACTGAGTGAAGTTGTTACAGTGAGATTATCTGATATATACTTTGTACATGAAATAATCTCTTGGATTTAAAAAAATAAAACAATAACAGAGTGGGTCACTAGACCAAATAAAGTTTAATCAAAAGATAATTTAAAGTAAATTTATTTTTAGGTCCAAATGAAACAGTGAAGAGAGACAGAATCTGATCTGAGAACAAGCAGAAAAAATTAATCTGATGAAAAATGTTGATTTGATAACATAATGCAGTGTAGTCTATATACTATAACTAATATACATACATACTTATATATATATATACTGATATATTTTATATATTTACATATATATGCATATATATATACATATATGTATATATATATATATATATATATATGTGTATGTACAAAGTATATGTATATACATATATACGTATATCTTCCTGTTATACAGCTGCATTGACCTTTGACCTCAGAAAACACAGTGGACCAACACCAGCAGATGACATGGCACCCCAAACCATCACTGACTATGGAAACTTGACACTGGACCTCAAGCAACATGGATTCTGTGCCTCTCTTCCTCCAGACTCTGGGACCTTGATTTCCAAAGGAAATGCAAAATTGATTTTCATCAGAGAACATAACTTTGGACATGTCATCACTGGAAAACTACAAATACTCATTATTCACGTCCCTCTGTGATGGGGGACATCCATATACCGCTTGTTGTAGATAGTTCCACCAGCTCTTTTTATACCTTCTGCACTATCTGTTCAATTAACATGGGGTTGCATTTTCTCTTGCATCCACGTTCTGGGAGTTGGTCACTCTCTCATGAACCTTGAACTTAGTAAAAATTTTGACAGCTGTGGTCAGAGGAGCTTGGAGGTGGTCTTGCAGCATTTCGTTTTAACATGGAGCTCTCTAATCTTCTCTCTGAGCTCCTCACAGCTCTGCTCTTTGTTTTCTCCGTGTGTGTGTGTGTGTGGGGGGGGGGGGGGCACATGATACCAAACTACCTAGTGATGAGTTTGTTCCCATTAAACAGACAGAATGACTGACAAAGCTTGAAAGCACCCGTGATACTTATTAAGATCCAACACAGTTTGAAACATGACTACAACACAAGGATTAATAATCTGTTTAAGGGTATCAACAAATCTGTTGTTTTAATTAATTAACAGACAAACATCTTGCAGCTGATTATAAAATGTGTAGCAATCTTCTCTCTCTCTTTCTTTCTCTCTCCCTGCTCTTCTTTCCTGTATCGATGAATCAAAGTACTGACAAAGTGCAAACTCATAAAATGCAATTCTGTGGTAGATAATCAAGACATAACAAAGACGTAACATTAAAAGAAGGAATGCATATCACCCGCCACCTCTCATGAGTTTTAGACTGAAATATACCACTGTATGTTGAGACAAGACATTTCTCACAGACATGCCACCTTTTGTGACATTTCTGTGGAAACTGGAGTCGATGTCCTTGTCCGAACTGTAAAAACTCTCCCTAAAGAAATTAGTTTTACAGAGAGAAAACTGACACAAAAAGATGCAAAGGAGTTCAATAACTATTACCACCAAGTGGAAATACTTTTTTTTTATAACTTAAATCTGCATAAACCCCCAGTTCAGAGTACATCCCATACTAAAGCAGAAATTAACCAGTATGGTGTTGTAGCTGAACCTCATTTTGTTCATTTGCTTTATTCGTCAATTATCTGCAAACCTTTATAAAGACTAAAACCATATTTTTAATTAAAACAAAAATACCTGAATTGTTTAAAGGAGCAAATTATGGTGAATTGTTGGTCACAACTTAAAGTGAACAACTCACAGCAACGATGGCCACAAAAAAACATAAACCAGTCATACCAACAAAGTCCATGCTCAATAATCCAGATATACAATCCAACAATTTTCAGTCATGTCCAGATTCAGATAAACCAGATAAACCAGGTTCAGATAAACCAGTCATGTTTGAAACATTTATGAAGACGTTTTAATTAATATTATTAAAATACCAGGATAAAGTTTTCTTCTGGTGTTTTTGATGTTGGTACTTCTTCTAGCTATTTAACTGTCAATAATGGTGTACCACAAGGCTCAGTCTTAGGACCCACTCTGTAAAACCAAATGAATGTTGTTTCCATAACACAAAGTTGGTACCAGCAATCCTTCCTCCTATCTTATCCACGCATGCAGTTCCTACTGAGTTTGTGAATTCTTATAAATACGTGGGAATTTTAACTGATTCACATCTCTCTTAAGCCTCATGTCAAAAACTTGATAAAGAAACTGAAATTAAAACTGGGTTCCTTTTTCCGAAATAGATCTTGTTTAACGCCGGATGCCTGAAAACGCCTTGTAACCACTACCGTCCTACCGATCATTGACAATGGTGACATTATTTACATGAATGCCCCTGCCAGCACCTTGCAGAAGTTGGTTGCTGTCTACCATGGCACGCTAAGATTCATAACTGGTTGTAACTACCGTACCATCACTGCACTCTGTACTCCTTGGTCAGTTGGTCATCATTAACTTCATGTAGACTCTCACTGGTACATTTTCATCTCTAAATCACTTCTTGGTCTGCTCCCTTCTTATATCTCCTACATGTCACGTCGTCGGTGCAGTTACAACATGCGCTCTCAGGCCATCATTACCTGCAGTGTTCCATCAGTGCGGACTGAACTCAACAAAAAGGCCTTTCCTTTCTCGTCTCCTGTATCCTGGAACACTTTGCAACAAGATCTGAAGCTGTCCACTAGTGGTGAGCAGATCGATCCAAATATAGATAATATCGATACCAACATGGTTAAGTAATGAGATCGATACTTTAGCTTAAATTCAATTCAGTTTTTTTATATAGCGCCAAATCACAACAAAGTTGTCTCAGGGCACTTTACAGAAACATTCACATAAAAGCCAATTAGTAAAGTTCTCTATCTAAGGAATCCATCAGACAAGCTTCAGTTTCTCTCCTGTATGCACTGCTGCGTTTTCATCAAAGATGCGAGCCGACTGTCAGTCACAGCACAGAGCAACTTTACAAAGGCAGGCAGGGCCCTCAGAGAGGCTTCTGGGAAATTTATTTGAACTCAAGGCTTTGGAGGTTGTTTTGTTGTTTACACTTTATTTATTGTATTTTCACAAATTATTTTTGATTTGTAATTATTTTTTCAAACCCAGAAAAGAAATTCACTTACGAGAAGAAATTTGGTTTTATTCCTTTATAATATATATATATATATATATATATATATATATATATATATATATATATATATATATGTGTGTGTGATAACTTTGTACTCTCTGTTTATTTAAGACAAAAATCCAGAAAAGGAGTGTAAAGAAGGGATAATTTTTATTTAATTATCATAGTTTCTGAACACAATGTGTTAACTTATTCTTGAGTGATCATTCTGTGCACTTTGTTTAAGGAAAAAATCCGGCCATCACAAGGTATGGGGGGAATTGTTTTGATACTGTTCTATTTTTTCAGAAAAAAAAACTTTTATTATAATAAAGTATTTTTATTTACTTATACACTTGGCCTAACTCTATCTTGGGTTTTAACTAATGAATGAGCCGAAGGAAAAATCACAAAACACTTAAATGTCATCAAGATTCACTGTAATTATTTAAAAGTATCGTATCGGTATCGGCGATTTATGTTGTTTTATAACACCACCTTTTATTTTAATTTAATTTGCATCTTATTGTTGTTTATTGTTGTCTGTACCTTATCTGTGGTTTTGTCTAAAACAGGTCTCTCTTGTAAATGAGTCCTCGTGCCTCAATGAGACTAACCTGGATAAATAAAGGTGGAATGAATGAAAAATGTATTTGATATGTTGTTAGATTTCTGTAATCCTGAAATGTAGTTTTTCTTTATTTTACTGAACTTCCTTTTCCCACAGTCATTGTTTATATTCAGCCTAGTGTCATCATGAATGGATATTATGTACTTTTTGTTTTACCACAGTAACACTGCAGGTACTGGATACCTTTCAGGTTATTATTTAACATGTGAAGAATGAGTCCAGGTGATTAGAGCCAACACTGTAATGCTCCTTACACATTAATCCAGCTGTCATAATAATCCAGCCCAGCAGCACAAAAAGATGTTTGCTTTTCCCCCTCCTCCTCCATAGCAAATTATTTTACACTGCTGTGATGCAAATTTTACTTCCACAAATCATTTAACTTCTTCTTCCACTCAAAGTATGCACATGAAACGACCAACAATATTCCTCGAGTTTCATGAATATTTAATCCCCTCGACCAGCATCGTCACTACTGAAAGTTTAGTTTCAAAAAGTTTTACCGGATAGAAAACTTTTTGTTCTCCTCTGCAGAACCTTTTGGCCCTGGGCTCCTCACCAGCTCTCACCTGATAGGCCACCATGTTCAGGAAGTAGCTGTAGACGCTGGTGCGGTTCATCCCCTGCGAGGCTGACATGGTGCCTCTGAACAGCTTGTCCTCGGCCACCACCACTCTACATTTGGCCATGAACTCCGAGCACAAACAGCTTTTCCTCAAAGAGTCTACAAAGATCCTCACATCCTCGAGGAGGCCAGAAGAGAACCTCAGAAAGGCCTATCAAAGAAGGACGCCCCCAGAGTCCAGCAGGTTGTCGTTACACGCTCCTTCTGCTGGATTAGCAGTGAAACTTGTCCAACCGGGCTCCCTGCAGCCGAGACCCTCAGGATGGGCCCCGGGTTAGCAGCATCATGAGGGAGGGAGTGGTTTTGTTGCTCGTGTCCCACATGCCTTCGCTCTGCGGCTGTGTCGGCTGCTGCCAGGAGAGGAGAGACGGTGGTGAAAGCCCGGTGCCCTCCCTCAACCCTCCCCCCCGTCCCAGTCAGATTAGGCAGAGAGTCAGCAAGTGGAGGGAGGAGAGGGAGGGGAGGAGGTCGTGGGCCGTGTGTCGGTTCCATCTGTTCATCTTGTCCCTTCCCCCAACACTGAATAAACCCCATGAAAAACCAGAATGGACAATATGTTCCTTAATCCAGGTTTCATTCAAAGACGTGGTCCAGGACTGAGTCTGACACCTCTAGCAGTCTAAATGATCCGGTCCGAGTCTAAGTCTTACAATTAGTGACAGTATCAACAAGTAGTACACTGCTGTGATATCAGTCATAACAGCACAGAGCGAGTCCTCAATCCTGGTCCCTCAAGGGTCACTATCCTGCATGCTTTAGATGTTTCTCTGCTCCAACACAGATGATTTGATTCATCCAGACTTCCGTAGAGCACAAAGAGGTAATTCAACCAATAAATCAGGTGTTTTGGAGCAGGGAAACAAGTAAAACATGCAGGATAATGGCCCTCAAAGACCAGGTTCAGACACCCCTGGCATAGAGTCTGGAGGAAGAGGCAGCAGTCTTCATCCAGCTGAACGAGGGCTTATTTTAAATCATTATCAGGCTTTTAAAACAATTTTCTCAAACGGATGTGAAAGAATGCTACATTAGTTAACATTAATTTGCTAAACAAAGTCCTCTATAATGACCGTTAGGCCAACTTTGGACTGACTGAACACACTGATACATTCAACAGCCTCAGCACCTTTACGATCTGTCCTCTTATTGTTGGGACATGAAGGTTGTTCAACTGAGAGCACAGCAACAGATTCAACTGTGTCACACAAATGTTTAGACCATTATTTTTTTTTAAACAAAGTATATTTTTAATTAATTTTTCACTTTTAAACACACAACAGTACAGAACACCCCCACCCCCCTTCCCTCCCACACTGGATCAGTCAAACATGCATAAACAAACTAAACAGGCACGGACATAAGGAGTACCTTCAGGAGGATTAATCCGCACAAAGCAACTGGCCCAGACAACATCCCCAGAAAAGTGTTGAAGGAATGTGCTGATCAGCTCTGTGAGGTGCTGGCAGACATCTTTAACACCTCACTTACCCTGGAGACAGTTCCCACCTGCCTGAAGACTGCCACCATCATCCCAGTCCCAAAAAGCTCTACAGTGACTGGTCTGAATGACTATCGGCCAGTGGCCCTCACCCCGATAGTCGCTAAATGCTTCGAAAAACTGGTCATGACTCACATCAAAACAGCCATCAACATCAACGAGGACCCTCATCAGTATGCATACCGTGAGAACCGATCAACAGAGGATGCAATCTCCTCTGTGGTCCACACTGCGCTCAACCACCTGGAGCAGAAAAACTCTTATGTCCGTATGCTCTTTGTGGACTTCACATCTGCCTTCAACACCATGATCCCCCAAACCCTGATGGACAAACTATCCACACTAGGACTAAGCCCCTCCATCTGCAACTGGGTACTAGACTTTTTAACAAACAGACCACAGTTAGTGAGGATCCACAACCTCTCCTCCTCCACCATAACCCTCAGCACTGGCTCTCCTCAGGGATGTGTGTTGAGCCCCCTTCTGTTTACTCTGCTCACATATGATTGTGCAGCTACCCATCCAGGCTGTCACATTGTAAAGTTTGCAGATGATACAGATGGGATGCATCACAAACAATGATGAGTCCAGCTACAGGCAAGAGGTGGAACACCTGGAGAGCTGGTGCAGAGAGAATAACCTTCACATCAATGTGAAGAAGACAAAGGAGATGATTGTGGACTTCAGAAGGAACAAAAACACCTACACCCCCCTGAACATAAGAGGATCTGCGGTGGAAGTGGTCTCCAGCTACAAGTACTTGGGTGTACACATGAATGACAACCTCAGCTGGAGCAACAACACCACCAGCCTGATCAAGAAAGCTCATCAGAGACTCTACTTCCTCAGACGGCTGAGGCGAGCTGGTCTGGGAAGCTCAGTCCTCACCTCCTTCTACAGGTGTGCAGTGGAGAGCATCCTGTGCTCGAGCATCAATGTGTGGCATGGAGGCTGCACAGCTGCAGAAAGAAAAGCTTTGCAGAGAGTGGTGAAGGCTGCACAGAAATCTGTCGGAATCAGCCTCCCCACCATCACAGACATCTACACCTCCAGATGCAGGAAGAGGGCCACCTGCATCATGAAGGACCCCACTCACCCAGCA